ATAGGTGAAACAGTCAGATAAAGACATGAGAAAAAAATTAGAATATCAGATGGTGACAAGTGTATTGGAGAAATATGAAGTATAGTAAGATGAAGGAGGATCATAAGGGTTGGGGCATGTTGCTATTCTAAACAGGTGGCAACAGAAGACCTCCTAAAAAAGTTGGCATTTGAACAGGCACTGAAGGCTGTGGCTGCCAGGGGAAGGGCATTACAGCCAGAGAGAACAGCAAGTGCAGAAGTGTGGAGGAAGAAATGTGCTCACAGCAGCTGTACAAGGTAGGTGTTCTCTTCATTTTGCCCAGAAGAAAATTAAAACCAGAAAACGTAAGTAACTTGTCTAAGGGCTTATACTAGTATAATGGTACATTATGGACTTGAACTAAAATCTCCTGAATTTAAAAATCTATATTCTATTTCAATACACTTCCTCTATGCAACTTTTACTAATTACAATAAAAGAATACAAAAAGAACACACACACACACACACACACACACACACACACACACACACATCTATTCTAAAAGAAACATGGTGGTAGATACTGAAGAGTAACTGTTTGCATAGCAATTTAGGCTCTTTCTAGAGTGACTTCTTGTTCGGTAGGAAGCAGAGAGGTAAAACCAGGGTCTTTGCGTGTAGTCTCTTTTCCACTAAGCAGACCACCTACAAGACTCAGAGATGAGCTGGAGTGTAATGAAGTCATGACGGTGCGGCTCTTCTGGAAACTGGGTGATGCCGGTGGAAACGTTGCCTCTTCTAGGCTATGGCCTTTGGTCAGTCTAACCTTGTAGCACTGAGTGGCAGTTACGCAGCTTGTTGACTTGGGAACTTTTGCAGTAGCAGCAGATTCCCCATGGATCTTGAGTCAGCTGTGGTGACAGCAGCTGCCCTCTTCTCGGGCCAGTTTGGCAGTTCGCTTCTGGAAGTTGTCCCTAGAGGCTCAGCCTAGAGCCTTACTCTCTAGTCTTTCCACTAATACCCTAAACAAATTCCTTTCTTCATAAATTAGTTAGGATGGCCTCTGTTGTCTGCCACTGAACCCTGACTGGTACCGCAGCTGGCACAAAAATGGGGTGAACACGATTCTCTTTGATGACTTTGAGCAGGCATCCAGTTTACTTCCAGCTGTATGCGTGTGGCCTGCTCACCTGTTTTGCTCCCATGATCCACATTCTTGTCCATTGTAGTTGTGTGAGTACCATTTTCTTATTATTGTAGCCATGCCTTCTTTTGTCTCTGCTACTCTGAGACTCCATCATAATCAGGGAGTCTACTTCTGATGCAATGTCCTCACCTTTGTCCTTGACCTGTTTCTATTATACTTTCCGAAGGTGCTAGTACTTTCGTCACTAAAGTGTTTTTCAATGCTCTGTGGAAATACCCTCTTAAGAGATATAGGATACATGTGAATGTAACGTGTGTGATGAATCTAATCTCAGCAGCAATCCCATCTCTAGAAATCTTTGAATTCTTCCTCTACATTATACCAAAGAATTGTTATTATCTCAACTTTATTTTTCCAAGGCCATTGTTGCCTACAGATTTTGATCCACCAAGAGAGAAACTAATTAGAATCACTTCTAGCAGCCTGATCTAGTCCATTGAGTTGAGAGTCTCTTCCAAGTGTAGCTGCATCAATTTATTTAGCTTCAAATGGAATTACGTTCCTCTATCCTTGGTCTACTATTCTCAGCAAAATATACAGAATTGTGAATTAAAATTAATAATTTAAAGAAATTCTATTAAATCTAATTCTTCCTTTTTTGGGGATTTATTGTGCAATTGGCTGTCTACAACACGTTGGGATAGTAAATTAAATTGTTGCTTCTATACTTTTAAGGAAGAAGCCCAACATTTGATAGGCCTCTGGATCTTGGAAGCAACAGACATCACATTTTGTTGCCTTTTCTGATTTAATAACTGCATAATTCATGAACCTACCATCTTTGAGTGGGCCCCTGAGCAATCAAGGGGTCTTGAGCTTGTCTAGGCTGCAGTGCAAGCAGCACTGACCTTGGCTTTTAGGATCCAGCATATCCCAAGAGCCCAAAAGTGCTGTAGCTGATCAGGGTGTTGTGTAAATGTTACAGTAAGGCTCCACAGGAGAATCACAGTTGAGAACTGTAGGATTTTGGAGCGAAGCTATGTTCTCTTCAAGCAGCGCTTTTTTTTTTCACTGAACACTTGAACATGGCCCACCAGAGACCTGAGCTATTCCCCATGAACTGAAAGCTGTCTGATCCACTAAGCAAAAATTCATGACATATTGAGGATTATTCCATCATTCAGTGGAAGTGATTTGCAGGAGGTCTCACTCCAGAATGGTCTGAAAGCAATGGTAAGTTGAATAAACACTGAATAGCTCATATCCTGCTGCTCTTTCACCTCTCTGAACCAGAACTATGACCTGGTGGTGAGTTCCCTATGACCAATTGAAAGAGGAGGAAAAAAACTGTCCGGTTTTATATATGCCCTCATATCAGCTAAGGGTGACAATTGCAGTACCACAGCCACATTCGGGAATCCCTGGAGGATTGTGACAAAAACGGGTATTCCCAGTGGTCCACTTTGCCTGGAAGCTGAGATACCCAGAGGTGAGGATCTACTCTGATTCATGAACAGTGGCTAGTGTTTGGAGCTGTATGGTCGGGAATTTGGAAAGAATAAAACTGGAAAATTCGGGAAGAATCATATTGTTGGATGTCTTTGAATGGATCCAGTGTAAGACAATATTTGTATTTTATGAACATACTCACCCAAGGCCTTACTGAGGAAGATGTCAGTAATCAGGAGACTGATCACCTGCTCTGGCTGAATGTCAGGCAACCTCTTTCTCCACTTACTCCACCGATTGTTCAAAGGGTTCATGAATGAAGCAGCCTTGGTGGAAGGTGCAGAGGTTACGTAAGGATTCGGTAACATAATTTCACCCAGGCCACTCTGACCACTGCTGAGTGCCCAATTGACAGACATAGAGGCCAAATCAGATCCTCAGAAGCCCATGTGCTCTGTGGTAGTAGATTGTTTACACTGGATCCCGTCCGTCAGGGAGAGAGCAATGATTTTTCCCACTGACACAGATGATTCATTCATTTAAAAATATCGATTAGGCCAGGCGCGGTGGCTCAAGCCTGTAATCCCAGCACTTTGGGAGGCCGAGGCGGGTGGATCACGAGGTCAAGAAATCGAGATCATCCTGGTCAACAAGGTGAAACCCCGTCTCTACTAAAAATATAAAAAAAATTAGCTGGTCATGGTGGCGGGTGCCTGTAATCCCAGCTACTCAGGAAGCTGAGGCAGGAGAATTGCCTGAACCCAGGAGGCGGAGGTTGCGGTGAGCCGAGATCGCGCCATTGCACTCCAGCCTGGGTAACAAGAGCAAAACTCCGTCTCAAAAAAAAACAAACAAACAAAAAAATCAGTTAAACACCTAATATGTACTAGGCAGAGTTCTGGATACCTGTGGTATGTCAATGAACAAAGAGAACAAAGGTTGTTGCCCTTAAGAGTGAAAGGTAAATCTGGGTAATGGAGACTGGAGGTACTGAAGATGGGGGGAAGTAGTTTCCAAATTTACATATGACTGAAAGCCTTGAGTCACCAGGGCAGACCTCAAAGCCTGGTGGTTTTCTGGGAGGAAGAGCACTATAAGCAGAGAGCAGCCTGTGCAAAGGCCTCAAGCAGGCATTTACCTGGTGTGCCTAAGAAGCAATGCAGAAGGCAGGGCTTCCTCAGTGAAGTGCTAAGGGGAAGAGTGGCAGGAGACTGGAGGCAATGGGGGTGATCGGATGGAGACTTTTGGGCACTTTGGGCCTCTGGCTTTCATCCTAAGAGTGATGGGAGGCACTGCAGGGTTTTGAGCACAGTGGCCCTAGTGCTGAGAATGGGTTGTAGGGAGGAAAGGGACAAAGAAGGGAGACACGAAGCTACCGCTGTAACAGAAGTGAGTGGCACCTCAGACAAGGGTAGAAGCCTGGGGTGGTTAAATGAGGTGGTCTTCTGGGTGTAGATATTTTAACTATTATGGAAAATTAAAAGCATCCAAAAGTAAAGAATACTATAAACTTCCTCTTCTTCCCATAACATACCCATCACCCAGCTCCAGAAATGGTGCACACATGACTGATCCTGCTACATCTATACCTATCCACTTCCTACCCACCCTCCACCCTCACCCCATCAGGTTATTTCAAACCAAATCACACCATTTTATCTACTAATTTAATGTACACTGAATAATCTACATTAATAACCTTTCATCTAATACTTCAGTATAAGCTCTAAAAATGAGTATCCTTTTGTTTTTATGAAAACATCATTAAAATAAACTATCGCATCCAAAACATATAACAGTTTCTTAATATTAGTGTACAAATTTTCCTTAGTATTTCATGGGTAATTTTTTCTTAATTTGATTTGAGTCAGGATCCAAACAAGGCCCATGCATTCCTTTTGGTTGATATGTCTCAAGTCTCATTTAATTTATATGTCTTCTCCTTTTCTTTTTCTCTTTCTCTTTTTTAGGGTGATACATGTGACAAATTCATACATTCATATAATTTGTAAAGATCAAATCAGCATAACTGGGATATCTATCACCTTATATATTTTTATGTCTCTTATGTTGGAAATATTCTAATTAATTTTCTTCATTTTTCTTCTCTCTTGCTTTCTCTCTCTGTTTCTTTCTTTTTTCTTTTTTTTGCTATGTATTTGTTAACAAATACAGAAGCGAGGTCATTTGCCCTATAGAACTTTTTCTCAGTTTGTGTTTTGCTGGTTGCGATCCCATGATGTTATTTAAACAAGTTCCTTTTTTTTCCATGCATTTTCTATAAACAAGTATTTAGTAAGAAAGACATGAATGGATTCGGTTTTAAGATTGGGGGCATGGATGCTTTGCAGGTGGTATTGTCAGGAGACCTAGAACATTTGGCTGCTAGTTTTTGTCAATTATTCAACCAGTAGGTGTTATCATGAAATATCCATATGAAATTGTGGTTTCCTATTTCTTTCATTCTTTCTTCATTTATTGCAGGAATGATTCTCACATAACCTAATCAGTAACTCAAAGACACAGTTCCCACAAGAAAAGCAACTTTATTTCCTTTGAGTAGGGAATGGTATTTAGAGAATGAAACCTCTGCAAAGAGTGCTTATTGCTAACGGGTTGGTTATTTCTAGGCCTTTACAGTGGACAAATGTAGGAAACACTTATCTTTTTTTTTTTTAAGGCAGAGCTCATTATGAGTTTCTACTAATATTTTCAATTCAAATTTAGGTTTGCAGAGTTGTTACTTAAGTTTGTAATTTTATATGTGTGTCTCTTTTCTCTAATGTTGCAAGTCTTTGCCCCAATGACATTAACATAATTATCATTTGCTTTTGGAAATGCAACCTAGAGCTTGCATCTATAGCTCTTCTGATGTCCTCTTTTAAATTCCTCTCTCCGTAAACCACTTCAGGTGGGTTATTTTATCTGCAACTGAATCCTGACAGTGTAAGCTGAGGGCAGAAGTGAAGGGGCTTTGCACTGTCTGTGTAGTACCCGTGCAGCCACTCGGTTAAACAAACGACGCAAGTGAGTCTCCAGTGAGAGAATGTTGTAGACGTATTAAGCAGAGATCCAGGTCACCCAGCCCTTTTCATCTCTGTGCAAATCCTAGTTCACCAAAATTCACACTTGTTTTTCAAACCAGTCCTTCTTTCTCTTTATCTTTTGTTTCTAAAGCAGACTCTAGGGACTATATTAGGTCAGGTGTCCACAGCAAAGTAATACAGGGTCTTCTCTTTTTTTTTTTGAGACAGAGTTTCGCTCTTGTTACCCAGGCTGGAGTGCAATGGCGCAATCTCGGCTCACCGCAACCTCCGCCTCCTGGGTTCAGGCAATTCTCCTGCCTCAGCCTCCTGAGTAGCTGGGACGCACCACCATGCCCAGCTAATTTTTTGTATTTTTAGTAGAGACGGGGTTTCACCATGTTGACCAGGAGGGTCTCGATCTCTTGACCTCATGATCCACCCGCCTCGGCCTCCCAAAGTGCTGGGATTACAGGCTTGAGCCACTGCGCCCGGCCACTAGGGTCTTCTCTTAACTGTGGATCTTGGCCATTTTAGTGAAGTCTTTCAGAGGCCATCCCATTCCAACTTCAGAGTAAATGAAAGAGTACTCCTGGGAGTTAATGCATATGGGTGAGAAGAATTGGAAAGCTGGAATGAGTTGATCATTCCAGGGGCCGTGAGGACTTCACTGGGCCTGGGGCTTTGGATAAGGGACAAATCACATGAGTAGGACATTCTCCTAACTTTTCATTCTCATAACGTTCTTTATCCTTAGAGCTGACCTTTCCAGCTGAGTTATCTGGGTGTTGTGCCTTCACCTCAGCGTAGACGACTGAGGCAGCCTGGAATGGAAGAAAGAAGTGGAAACAGAGAGGGAGCGTGAGGCAGCAAGTAATGGCGGAGATAAAACAGTAGGGGAATCAAACTCACCTCATTCTCTAGAAGTGTCCTGGAGATACTAGCTGTGGAGAGAAAGAGAATCACTCAACTGTGGGCATAAGGATGAAGTGAGAACTCAGTCTGAGCTGATTCCCTAGAGTCTGGGAGCCACTGGGCCCTGTCCATTGATCATCGTGTTTCCCCACCTCATCCCTTAACATGTCCTTCAATACATTTGACTTTCCATTCTATCAGTTCTTAACCCAGCCCTCTGCAAGTTCTTTTCAAGCTCCATTGATCTGTTAAGTCCTCCCTCAATACTACACTAAGAAACCTCACACCCTTCCTCTACCAGCTATTGAGAGATTATTTTTCTCTTAGTTTTAGTTCTTGCTTGTCTTATCTTACAATATAGTCATCTCACTATCCTCAGTGGTTTGGCAAGTTCTCATTACAGTGCTCCATATGTATGCCCTGTGAGGAGAAACTCTCTCCTACATGAGCAAGTTCTAGTTCTTGATTTTACTGCCCTGGTTTTCTAGAGATGGAGCCAGAGTGAGGGGAAAGTTCAGCAGACGTGATTTGTTGAACCATGCCTATTAGAGTCTCAGAGTAAAAGGTAGAATGATCAGAGCAGTGTAGTAATTTTATGGAGATAGAGCCTGAAAAAAAAACATACACTCTGGGGCACTAGACGTTTCTCTGTTTCTTACTGTCTTGTTACCATATTCTTTCCCCAAACCTTTTGGGGTTACAGATATGTTTAATTATATGATGAAAACTATGTACTCTCCCCAGAAAAATGGTCATATGCACAAAATTTTGCATATGATTTCAGGGGCTTCATGTAAACTTTGAGGAACAGGTGAGGAAACCATTCTACAGATCATTAATATTTCAAGTTTCTGAAATAGAATGAGTCCATCAACAGAATGCTTGGCTTAAATGGTGTTTTGATAAATATGTCAAGGAAAGAGTGTAATTTGTATTTCTACTAAAAATACGAAAATTTGCTAGATGTGGTGGCTCATGGCTGTAATCTCAACTACTTGGGAAGCTGGGGCACAAGCACTGCTTGAACCAGAGAGGCCTAGGTTGCTGTGAGCTAAGATCGCACCACTGTACTTTACATTGTAATGTCTGCACGAGCCAAGAAGGAATTAGACAGAATCCATACTCCAATTCCTAACACTGAGACACTGACACAGAAAGAGGAAGAGGGCCGTATTTTCCAAATGGAAGTTAAGGTCATAAAGTTGAATGAGTATATATGCATGCATGGTGCAAAAAAGAAGATTATTAGAAACATCCACTTCCCTGGAAAACCTAGAAAATTTGTAGAAAATCTAGTCTGTAGTCATTGTGTGCATAGTTACGTGAACACATTGTCTAACTTAATTAGACAAGACACATGCTGTGCCAACCCAGAAAATTTATAACCTTTGGTATTATCCATTTAGATGAACAGACTAATGAAAAGCAAAATGACCAAGGTAGCTCTGTAAGATAAGATGTACTCAGTCAACCCAAGAAAGGTGGTGGCCATTCTAATTCTCCCATTCAAAGGGGATCCTGATTCCTGGAGGTGGCTCAGGGAACCAAGTGAAAGACAAGCAGGGGATCAGGTGATCTATGTTGGTCACATATAGTAAAAGAGTGTTCATGCAGCAGATATAGCGAGACAGAAGACTTGGTCTTAGCTTTGTCTTTCACTGGCTTTGTGACCTTCAGAAAGTCCTTCACCTCTCTGAGTCTTCTGTATAATATTTCATTCCCATAGGATAGCTTCAGCATCAGTTTACAACTGAAGTTCCTAGGAGATTTTAACTTCCCAAGTGAGGTGTCATGGGTAGATTTGTACAAGAAATAGAATTGTTTGTTTCCTTGACTCTAAGGACCCAGGTTAATCAATCAAAGCAAGGAAGTGTGGGGAGGAAAATTATTAAAAGGTTTGTTGAAGAGGTGTCTTTAGAAGGATTGATCAGCTGATGTCCACTGTGTCTCCACTTTGGCTTTCTGAGGTCACAGTAACAAGGTGGAGTTTGCTATTTGATGGCCCCCAGCCAGGTGAAGGAGGTCTCAGAAATTCCTCTTGAACTTCGGAAGTGATTTTGAAGTGATTTCCCTGATACTGGGATACAGACCTCCTGCCTCAGAAAGGCAAAGTGGACCATCGTTTGCAGTTACTTAGAGTAGTGTTTTTCTAATAACAGATCTCAATTCATCAGTGGGTCTTAAAATGGATCTGAATAGGATTAAAGAAGTGAAGTAGAATTTCAAGAGACAGCTCAGCTTGTTCTGACCAAAATGGACTAACAGGGACTGGCTATATCTTCCCATTTTAAACAATGAGAATAAAGGACAAAACGGTGGTTTTCACATATTGTACCAGTTTACCACCGAGCTCTGCATGGACTGGGGAGTTCAGACAGAGCCTGGCTTCTGGTTGGAAGCTTTGCTGACTTGAAGCAACAGAGACCAACAGTTCTGTTTTACTGAAGCAGCTACAATTTGTAGGACAGTACCAGAGAGATAGGAGGGATGCAGATTGAAAGCTCCAGAGGTCTGCAGAGAGTTCTCCTTAAGTCTTCGGCTGAATACTGATAGGCATATTTGTAAGAGGAAAGTACCTTAGGCCAGGGTAAGATCTGCCAGAAAAGAAGAGGCAAAATAATACCAGAAACTGACGCAGATCTTGTAATTCATGGACCATCTGATGTAGAATCCCCAGAAATGCATCACTTTACTATTAGGCTAGATTAAACCTACTGTGAAGGTTGTTTGAGACTCACCTTTATAAACCTTAAAAGCAAGCCTCAAAAGGATCCAATTCATTCCAAATAACTTACTTGCTCCAGAATAAAATTTAAAATTTGACAGTAATTAGAGGAATACAATACCATAAAAATCACATTTTTCAGGACTTAATTAAAAAATGCCATGCCTATGTACATATATATGATACATATGTATAAATATTCTCAGCAGAATGCCTACCACATAGTAGACATCTTACAAACATTTATTCATTCAGACCTAAGGGCGACCTTAGTACATACACTATAATGATCACGGTATCTATCAGAAGGAAGCTTAATTTTCATTCTGATCATCAGCGAAAGTATACCATGTGTATTTCAGTGTCTATCTTTCCTCCTTAGAATGTAAGCTCCCCACTGCAGGGACTTTTGTCTGCTTTGTTTGCTAGTTAACTTCCAATACTTGCAATAGTACCTAGCACATAGGAGGTCCTCAGTAAATATTTGTTGAATAAATGAATGAATGTAGTTTGCTGCCAGAACCTCTTCCCAGAGACGTACCTTCCCCTTCTTCTCCCAGTCGAATAATCTCGATCTCAGAGTATATCAAATCTTCCTCTTTGAGATGTACTGGAAAGAAAAGACATTTTCAAGGCTGTTTCTGTTAGTATGAAAGTGCTACAGATGCCTCTTCCTAAGCATCACCTCCACTCTTCTTGGACATACAATGGAACAATTATCTGGAAATATCTGGATTTGGGACACTTTAGGGAGTCCAGGGGCATTTCTCAGGACTGAAAGCATACTACCTTTCCATGGCTGGGGCCAGGAACAGCTTCCTAGAGGGGAACCCTCACCATTGACATACAGCCGCTGAAGCTCCACCTGGGCAGGGCAAATGGAATGGGAGGACTCTCCTGGCCCTGGAGTGGGAGGTATCCTGTGAGACACAGAAACACATAATAATCCCTGGAACATTGTAATATGCAGGATAGTGAGAAGCCCAGGGAAAGAGACAGAGGAGAAAGAGGATTTGGGGAAAGTCAGCAGCCAAGAGGGCACTGGAAACCCTGGATGGTTTAGAGTTTCAATAGGTCTATTTAGAGTGAGATTGTTCTTTTGAAACAAACCCTGGACCTCTGGAAACAAGGATAGAGAGTCTCTGACATCATAGCAACAATCATTTTCTCATAGTTAGAATGATCACTCTTGGTTGGTTACAAAATAGTGGCTTCCCAGCCTGGCCAGCATAGTGGAATCTTGTCTCTACACAAAATAAAATGAAGTTGGCCAGGCATGGTGGCATGTGCCAGTAGTCCTAGATACTTGGGAGGCTGAGGTGAGAGGATTGCTTGAGCCTGGAAGGTCAAGGCTGCAGTGAGCTGAAATGATGCTATTGCACTCCAGCCTGGGTCACAGAGCGAGATCCTGTCTCAAATATACATACACTGCCTTCTTCATCATCAGGAAAGAGTGATTAAATATCTTCACTCTATTGTTGGCCTGGTGAGGTGGCTCATACCTGTAATCCCGGCACTTTAGGAAGCTGAGGTGGGCAGATCATTTGAGGCCAGGAGTTCCAGAGCAACCGGGCCAATATGGTGAAACTCTGTCTATACTAAAATACAAAAATTAGCTAGATGCACTGGCTCATGGCTGTAATCTCAGCTACTTGGGAAGCTGAGGCACAAGAACTGCTTGAACCTGAGAGGCGCAGGTTGCCGTGAGCTAAGATCGCACCACTGTACTTTACATTGTAATGTCTGTACAATCCAGAAGGAATTAGACAGAATCCATACTCCAATTCCTAAGACACTGGCATAGAAAGAGGAAGAGGGCCATATTTTCCAAACGGAAGTTAAGGACATAAAGTTGAATGAGTATATATGCATGCATGGTGCAGAAAGAAAATTATTAGAAACATCGACTTCCCTGGAAAACCTAGAAAATTTGCAGAAAATCTAGTCTGTAGTCATTGTGTGCATAGTTACATGAATTATAATTATATAATTATAATTGTCCTAACTTAATTATAGGACAAGACAGGAGGCTGAGGCAGGAGAATTGCCTGAACCCAGGAGGCGGAGGTCGCAGTGAGCCGAGATCGCGCCATTGCACTCCAGCCTGGGTAACGAGCGAAACTCCATATCAAAAAAAAAAAAAAAAAATTATAGGACAAGAAATATTCTGTGCCAACCCAGAAAATTTGTAAACTTTGGTATTATCCATGTAGATGAATAGACTAATGTGAAATAAGAAATCTATTATTTTGCATGTTGCAAACTATCAGCTGACAAGCAGTTCTAGGAAGCTTCATTTTTGACAATTCAAGAAATGTGAAAATGGGGGTATCTAGCCACAGGGCCAAAGAGAAATAATTTGACCTAATTTTGTAACCCCACAGTTTTGCATATTGTGTACTTGGGAAACAAAAAAGGAACTGGTAGAAGCTGAGGTCTCACCTGGTTTCATCTCCCAAGAAACCATCTCCTGCAAAATAAAGCAGACGCATTTGTGTCAACAAAGAAAGCCCTTTCTCAAATACTTCACATACAGGAGCTATCTAAGAGAGGTCATCAGGAAAGTATATTCAAACAACTGCCCAGTCCTGAATTTTCTTGAAAATGATGTGAAGAAAGATTGAACAAAGCATATAACTTGTTGAGGCCAGGACTACACACTCCTGAGTTAAATATGCAATTGCTTGAGAATTTATTAAGACTCAAGTCTGTGTTGAAATCCTTCAGGAAATATTACATATAACCAAATTGTTACTTGCAGAGTAGTGAGCTGTGGGTGAACTTCAAGGAACATCTGTGGCCATGCTCAGAGGAGCATCAGGGTCTGACTGAGGCTCGCTAAGGAGATTTGGCCAGAGATCCAAAGCTCCCTACATCTAACCCAATGCAGGACACACAGAAGGTGCTGTCAGGAATCTGGAAAGTTGAAATTGAATTAAGAGACAGAGTTAAGGATGTGGGGAGTTATTCTAGAGCTGAAAAAGGTTCTGTGCCTGTCTTCTATACCACGTTTCTTGGCATCCAAAGCTAGCCTGAACTGGGCTGAGGTAAGAAGCCTTTGGAAGTATGCCACAGTGCCTGGGACAAAAGTCTCTGTAAGGCAGGGGAGGCTGACCTGGGGAGAGAGGGGCTGCTGGAGCATAAGACAGGAGGCTCAAGCTCTGACCCAGAAAATTCTCTTAGGGGAGAGAAGGAAAGAAATTAGCCAGCTCTTATTCTCAGTCATTTCTGCAGAGCCCTTCAGTTCATTTTGAATCTCCATTTATGGTGGATTTAGGATAGGCTGAGGTATTCAACTGGCCAGTCCGTATGAACCAAAGAAACTGCCTCAGTAAACAGTTCAGATAAAGTTTTTGGAACTTTACATTAAAAATTCCACTCTTCCTTCCTTTCACTTGATACTTAATCAGACTAGATATGGGCAGCTCTCATTCATGGCCTCTATTTCCCTTAAGGAAGGGACAGACATGAATGTGTGTGAGTGATGGGGGTGGCGACTTGGGAGTGGTGGCCTGGTGGCTACTGAGGCTGGCTGCATGCTGAGTTCAGGGGAAGGGACAGGGCAGGAACTCTGGCAAAGAGAAGAACACAAACCTGACTTCCTCTGGCGCCAGCAGTGAAACAGCAGGACCACAGCCAGGAGAAGAGCACTGAGCAGCCCCCCAATGGCTCCTGCGGTGACAAGGCCATCTCTGTTGCCTGGAGTCGCTAAGGGAAAAGGACCTGAGTGAATCTCAGTGGAGAGGTTCAGGGCTTGGGATTGCCTTTCCCTCGGCTTGGTTGGGTACTGAGCCCTGGAAGAGAGAAGAATCTAAAGGATTAGGACTCATAAAGACATCTTGGGCCAGGTTATGGCCAGAAAAGCTCACCGTGGGTGGGCCAGGGCCTGAGTGGAAAAGGAAAGAGCTCCCTCTACCTTCAGTGAATCATTTTAGAAACTAGCAATTTAGGGGAAATCCTAATGTATTCTGGTAACCTGGCTTCCTACGAATTTCCCCCAGACACCTGGAGAGCTACCATGGGATGGTGGCTTGGCAGCACCTAACTTAGGAAGCAAACTGTCCGAGAAAGAATGAAAATTCATCACTGATTAGGGCGCCAATTGAACCAACAGAGACTCTGTTTTAAAGCTCTGCATTAAAAAAGCACATCGGAACACACGATGAAATGACATCAGCTTCCTTCCTCATAGAAGCCTGTGCCTTGTGTGCTCTGAAGGGCAGGAGAGAAAAAAACTGATGGAAAAGTACAAACAATAAATTGTTAGGGGCTTTTGATATTTCCATGGGGTCCCTTCTCCTATCCTTTCATCCACAGAAAGGGAGGTTTCATTCAATTTACTCATTTATACAGCAAATATTTACTGAGGCTACCCTGTGCCAGGCACTGACCTAACCCTCGAAGGTACAGCAGTGAATAAGACAGTAAAGTCCCTGTTCTTCTGGAGTTTATAACCCAGGGAGGGGAGACAAGGAGTAAACAAATAAATGTATACCATGCCCTGTGGTGATGAGCTAAGGAGCAAAAGCAGGAGAGAGGGACAGAGGTTGGGGGGGGGTGCTTTTCATACGTATTCTTGGTTCCCAGGTAAACTAATTCAGACCTCAGACACAGGTACCACAGAATTGACAGAGAACATGCAACACTGACCATGATTTCCATTTATTTTCATCTGTGATTTCTGGCACAGAGGGGCCATTGGCCAGGAGTGGCTGGTCTGACATTACCCTTCCCTTCCTGACAACACCAACAAACCTGCCCTTTGACCTATGAGTGGTTCTACCTTTAGACAGTGTTCAGTGGGCAGCCAGCTCAGCCTCCCAACCACAACAGCTGAAGGAGTAGGGTGGAGAGCAGGGGAGAAATCTAAGGACAGAGAAGCTTGGCCACTGCATCCTGTATTGGATCTTTCCCCATTGCCTGCTGGGGCAACCGCTTGTACAAAATCAGAATCAGCCATGCCCAGGTCTAGGATTCTGAACTCAACGGGCAGAAAGCAAGTTACTCTACGTTCCTGTTAACCCTGTTTCCTAGAAGAAATGGCTACTTTGGGGAATGTAATTGAAATCTGCCTCAGTTAGAAAGGCACAGATTCTAAATCCAGATTGTGTGGTTAGAATTCCAGCTCCTCCATTTACTCACTGTGTGGCCAGGGAAAATTATTTAATCTCCCTTTGCCTCAGTTTTCTCAGTGAACTGGGGATAATTCTAACTATTTACTGTTGTAAATGAGTTAATACATGTAAAGTGCTTTGAACAGTGCCTGGCACCTAAGTGTTATGTCTAGGCAGGTACTAGCTCTTACTTGTTGTCCTAACACCATGCCCTAGGCTCTCAGGAACTTCAGGCTGCTCTCTGATTAGCTTAGAGGACTCCTCCATAGGTTAAGCTTGCTCCCCATGGTCCTACCCCAGGCAACCTCAGTCCATGGATTGAACTGTGCCCTTCTCCCCCAGATTCATATGTTGAAACTCTAACCCCAATGTGATGGTATTTGGAGATGGGACCTTTAAGAGATATTAGATTTAGATGAAGTCCTGAGGGTGGGGCCACAAAGATAGGATTAGTGCCCCTCTAAGAAGAAACACCAGAAAGGTTGTCCTGCTCTCTCTTTCTGCCACTTCAGGACACAGCAAGCAGGTAGCCTTCTGTAAGCCAGAAGGAGAGCCCTCACAAGAATCCAAATTATGTAAGTGCACCAATCTCAGACTTCCAGCCTCTAGAACTATGAGGAAATACATTTGTGTTGTTTAAGCCCCCCAGTGCATGGCATTTGGTTGTGGCAGTTCAAGCTGACCAAGACAGCCCACCTTAGACCAGTGCATGCGGCTACAGCAGAGTTTCTCTCCTGTTATAAATTCTCCTATTTCTAAGCACAGGGATTTTGCATAAAGCCCATAAATAAAAAAGATTTAGGGTGCTCATTCTAAATCTATATTCATATTCCAGCAATATTCCATCAAATATTATTTGATCCTTGATGTCCGTTTAATTTCCGAGATCCTCAGTATTCTTAACAGATATTGATACCTGCTTTCCAGGGCTGTCAAGGGAATAAAATGAAACAATATGTGTGGAATGGCCAGTTCACTGCCTGGATCAGGAGAAGCTGATCCATTCTAATGACCTTAACCCCCAAGAGGGAGAGGAATAATTTGTACTTACCAACAGATTCACTGTTATCTCCTCAGAGATTATAATCTTTGAGCTTCCTGGGGTAAACTTTTCAGAATAAGAGCCTTCCTGTAGAAGAAACACCCTCTACCATCAGTGTTATTCTGGATTTCAGGGCATTCAGGAGTCTTCAGAGGGTGCCCTTGGCAGCTTGCAATTTTGCTGATGCCTTCTTTTCCTTCCCTAATCTGATTCTTGAAATGCCATTGAGCCCTGGAATTCAAGACCAGACTGGGCAACATAGTGAGAACCTTTCTCTATGAAAAAATAAATTTAAAAATAATAGCTGGGCATGGTGGCACATGTCTGTAGTCCCAGCTACTTGAGAGGGTGAGGTGGGAGGACTGCTTCAGCCCAGGAGGTCAGGGCTGCAGTGAGCTAAGATCATGCCACTGAACTCCAGTCTGGACAACAGAGGGAGACCTCGTCTTTAAAAAAAAAAAAAAAATTATTAAAATTACATTAGCTCACTCTCAGTCCTTCTCTGCTGGGAATTACCCCCATTGTTCCCAGACTGAGAGGCAGACTGCTGTGGCACTTAGTTCTTCTGGGGAAACACCTCAGTCTCTTAACCTGGTAGGGCCTGCTTGATCACAAGACTTGCCTCGAGGGAGCTGAAGGGGAAGTTGAGCAGCATCTGGGCGGTTAGCATAGCAACCCCTTGCCAGAGCCTCTGACCAAACTGTTCAGGTTTATGTCTCTGACCATCAGAGGTGACCTTGTATAAACAGTGCAGCTCTCTGCTTATTTAGCATGGTTGACAGTGGGTACCTGACTGCATGATATTTCTTTGGAGAGCTTTGACATGGCTCTCTGGATCTCTGAGCTAAATGACTGGATCAAGGTTCAAATCTAGGCTGCCATGTGTAAGCTCTGTGGCTTTATACAAATCACCAAACCTTTCTGAGTTTTTCTTTCCCTTCTGTAGAATGGAGATAATAATATCTTCAGAGGATTGTTACGATGATCAACAGAGATGATATGCTCAACGCTCATTTATTCAGCAGACGTTTACTGAATGCCTGCGTCAAGCACTATTCCAGGCACTCGGGATACAAAAGTAGTAAAAAGAAGGATCCACCCGCATGAGGCTGATATGAGACACCTGGGAGAAGGCAACAAACAGATAAGGGCATTCATGGCCTGGGAGTTATTGATAAATGCTGCGATGGGAGGATTAAGCAGGACCAGGAGAGCGAGAGCTGGAAAGAGGACTGCCATGTTACAGAGTGGTTGGGAAGACTGACGAAGTGAGTAGAGTTCTGGAGGAAGTGAAGAAGTGAGCATGAGGATATCAGGGAGGTTGCAGTGTAAAGGCCCTGAGGTGGGGTTGTGCCTGGAAAGTTTGAGGAAGAGACAGAGGGTCAGCATGGTGGGAGTAGAGAAGGCAAGACAAAGTGGTGGGAGATGAGGCCAGGGAGACAGGAGGGTTAGATCATGCAGGGCCTGGATGATCTAGGTGAGTCATTGAGAGGGTACTGGCTATCTGCCGAAGGACATGGGAAGCCAAGGAAGGAGTCTAAGCTGAAGAGTAACATGATCTGACTTACGATTTAAGAGTTCCCTCTGATGCTGCATTGAGAATAGACATACAGAAGACCAGTTAGGGTGTCATTGCCATGATCCAGCCAAGGAATGCCGGTGACTTGGACCAGGTGGCAGCAGTGGAGATTGTGAGAAGTAGTCAGATTCTGGCTGTATTTTGAAGGTAGAGCCATTAGCACTTGGAGGTGGATTAAATATGGGGGATGAAATAAGAAGAGGCAAGGCTGATGCTTAGATTTTTGGCCTAAGCAACTAGAAGGGAGTTTTGTATTTACTGAGTGGAGGATTTGGGCAGGAATCTTCTGAAGTAAAAACCAAGAGCTTGGTTTTAGATGAGTTGTTTGAGACGCTAACTAGCTGTTCTGATGCACTTGATTTAAATACTTGAATATATGAGCCTCAAGTTCAGACTAGAGGTCTAAGTTTTAGTTCAGTTTGGGAGTCACACACAGGTAGAAATCATACGTGCATTTAAAGTCACGGGACTAAATGAGATGATATGGAAAGTAGGCACCGCTCGTCTGAGGACAGATGCCTGGTAGTCCCCAAAATGTAGAAGTTGGAAATATAAAGATCGGGAAAGAAAACTTGAAAAAGTGTCTGCTGAATAGGTAAAATACCAACAGGTGATGTCCCAGAAATTGAGGAGGAAAATGTTTCAAGAAGGACGGAGGGATTAATTCTATCAAAAGCTGGAGGTAGATCAAATAAAATGAAAACAGTTTTCCACTGGTCTTAGAAACATGGAGATCATTAGTAAATTTGGTGGAATGAGGCAAGCCTGGTGGTGAAGGGTTTAAGAAAAAAGTAGGTGAAGTAAGGAGAGTGAATAGAGACAACTCTTTTGAGTTTTATTATATAGGAAAGCAGGGAAATTTAACTTTGCAGTAACTTAATAAAAGCTTGCTTTTTTTCTTTTTCTTTTTTTCCTTTTACTGTACTTTACTTTTTTTTTGAGAGCCAGGGATGCACCTAAACCTGAGATTGAGAAGGGATCGAAGCCCAGCAGAGACCATTTCCTTAGTGCCAAGGTAGCTGAGTGAGAACACAGCTTGGCCCAGTGTGGCTTCTCGGGGATGGAGGAAGAGACATAATTGAGCTAAAACTGCGAGATCCCAAAGTAAGGCTTCTCTTTTCAATGGACAAAAGTGGGCTCTGTATCTGCTCTCCATGCTTTTGAGTTTCTTGACCCATCTACAAGTGGGCTGCCGAGAATCCTTCAGGATCCTCTTACAGTAATGAAGTCAAGGAATGCCTTGTGCTTTTGGTTCTGTGGACCTGAAGCTGCTGGTCTGATGTGTGTGGATGATTGACTGAGAGGTGGATGATTGACTGACTGCAGGGTGACACTGTGGGGTGACAGAGCTGTGCCCCACCCAGAAACACTGCTGATGAGATAAGGCTCCTCTTGAAGATTAACATGCAATGGATCTAAGCACAGAGAAACAAAATCACCTCCAAAAGGCAAAATGGCTCCCGACCAGGCCAGCGTTACCTCACTACAGGAACTTACTCTGACCTGACCGAGTTATTAATATTCTCATGGAAGAAACTGTTTATCACGGTGGAGTGTGGCAAAATGGAAACACGAACAGCAGAGTCACAGGGTAATGTTCTTTATCCCCACCCTTAATTTGAGGAAGTCTGCTGAGAGTAAATAATTAGGTCAGTAGAGATAAAAACTCACCTCTCACAGTGACGTTCAGCACCGCGCTCCAGACGGGGCCGTAGCTGTTGTCCGCTGTACAGTAGTATCCTCCCGCGTGGCTCTCTCTGATGGTAGGGAGCTCCAGCTCTGCTCTCGGGGAACGCTGAATTTTCCTCCCCAGACTCTCCTGCTTGTCCTCTCTGTACCAGGAGAACGTGGTGTCCCCTGTGCCTTCAGCCATGGAGCAGATAAGGACCAGCGTCTCCCCTTCAACCGCCTGGCCCCCTGAGGGCTGGCTCTCCAGGAGCACCCCAGACACAGGGATCCCTATGTGAAAATGAGACCACAGGTGGGGCCAGGTGTGAAGGAGGGCAGGGCTGGGTAGCTGGGGTGTTGAGCAGGGTCACTTTTTATGTGACTTCAAGATATACTCTTCAGCAGGTACTAGCATGGTGGCCAACAGACCATGAATTTAGGGCTGAGAATTATCACTAAATATGACAAGCTTTCCATCCTGATATACAAGGCCCTAGGAAAGAAAAAAGGACTAACCCAGAGGAAGCATTTGGGTTTTGTCTGACATCTTGACTGGAGGTCTGAGTTGTTTTGAGGGAGAGGTAATAGCAATAGTGACCATCATGGCATTTGGCTGGACCACATCTGTTTTTAAAAGTCCTGATTTGGTACCTAAGTGATATTTATTGGGTCTATCTCCCGTTCTCTTCTGCTGTACACATCATCAGCACTCACGTTGTTTGTAGCTACTGAATAGGAAAAGGTAATGCTTGCCTTCTAAATAGTTTCCCCCAAGATCTAGCATTCTAGAATCTGCCAACTCACTATCAGGGAACCTTGTTTTCCTGTTTTGTTTTGTTTTCCATAGCTCTCAAACCTAACTCCATGAGTCAGCTGTGATTCTGAAGTGATAGAGTTTCAAAGGAAGACTGAGTTTATAGGAAAATGGAGGTAGAAAAGTAGTCACGTATTTCCTGTATTATAGTACTTCATTTTTCAGCCTAAGTCTGGTGCCTCTGTCAGGATGATAAAATCCATCTCTTCTACATAGTCCCCATTCCTACAGAGCCCAAGGTGCAGAGAGAGTCAGGGAAGATGCCTGGCCCTCCAACACTCACGTTGCACGTGGATCTGTAGCGAGGGACTACGCTTGTGGACGCCACCAATCACTGTTTCAGCACCACACCAATAGGATCCCGAGTTTTCTTTCCAGATGGTTGGGATCTGGAGTTCCGGGGACTTGCTCCAGTTTGACAGGATGACCCTGCCATCTCTGAAGAAGATGAAGTGAAGTGGGGTGTCCGACCGCTCTGGAGGAAGCTGTGTTTCACAGCTCAGGTTTACAGAACTCCCCTCTGTCGGCTGAGAGTCTGTGGCTTTCAGCTCTGGATGTGGAAATAGTTCTAGAGAGAAGAGGTAAATCAATTTCTGAGCACAAGAGTATTTAACACTCTGTGAGAGACAGGTTTGGATGCTCAGTCCCAGGATTTTTCAGACACACAGCAAGACAAACTTATCAAGCCCCCTCTACCACATTTTTCTTCCACAGGTTTATTCAGATCCAATTACCCAACTTTCTCTGCCTCTTAGAGGACTTGTACCTCTCATCTATTCAGAGTTTCAATAGTAATCCATAAATTCCTTCCTTACACGCTCAGTTTCCTAACCCTGACATTACTAACAAAATTTACATGAGATGAAAGATTTACCTTGAATTTTAATCATTTTGTTATTTGATTTAAATACAACATTTTTGTCTCCATATCCAAAGCATCGATAATTGCCACTGTTATTTGAACTTGCTTGTGGGATAAGAAGATCCCAGCTTTGATTAGATTTGGAAAGAAGTTTTTCATTCCAAGTGTATTTCACAGCAGTCAATTTCTCGTACTTCCTTTTCCGGCATCTCAGAACCAATGTGTCGCCTTCAAACACAGAATATGGGGCCTGCAGGATTAAGGAGCCTGGAAAAGACACAGAGAGAAGAGGTGATCATTCAAAGCACTCCTGCTGCCTCCTTCCTCTGTGTCTCTTAAATTACAAAGGTTTTATTGTTTTCTTCTTTCTTCCACAGGATGAAATCTCCTGATCCAAGCTCAAAAACTCCTTCTGAATCAGTGTAACATGTTTCAAGTACAATTCCTAAATAAATCCCAGACACGTCTATTTAAGCATTCATGGTCAGATTCCAAAGATAAGGATTCTAATGTGGAGAATAGAAGCTGAGAGGAGGTGTGATCAGAATCCCTGACGTGAGAGAGTATGGCAGCATTTAACATCAACCTGCTCACCGAGTCTCAGAGCAGGAGCTATGAAGGAAGTAGCACTGGGAGAACTATGCACGGAACTCTTCCCATGCATTGGAGTGTGTTTTATAGCAGGATTCTTGTCAGAGACACAGTCTAGTTATCAGGGACAGTGGATGTGGTCCTATGGAAATTCCATGCTGTTCAGATTGTAATGATTTTAATTTGAGATTAGCTATAACCCTTCTGTCTTAGATGACTGTGTTGAATGGCTACTCCTATAGACCATGCCCTTGGACGTGACAAAAATCCTTATCGGTCAGGTAAAACTGGACAGGAGAAGATGTGGGAACTTGATGCCAAGCAGGAGGAAAACTAGGAATGAGGAGGGCACACATCACAACAGGTGGGGATGAAAAGCCTCAGATTGGAGATTTCCCGCCTCTGAGCTCCTTCAATGGCACTTTTGTCCTCAGCACATTTATGTCTGTTTAATTTCTCCCTTATGAGGCTAGTGAAGCCCTGCAGGCAGGATCTGAGACAGCTTTATTTTTGTGATCCCTAAAGCTAACTCATCTCCTTGACTGTGTAAGTGTGTGGGGATGGTGTGTGGGGATGTTAATTAATATTAACTATTTAAACCCAAGTTTCAATAGTAGTTTGAAAACATTTGTAGGCACTGAGGGAAAATGTGATAGTGAAGTAGCTGGGATTGAGTGTTAGAGAGGAATAAAAGACCCCAGTTCGTAGAACCTCCAGGGAGCTAAGATAAACCGAACCCATGTATAAAGTTTCAACTAATTCTTCTTTCTCACCTGAAGAAAAGGCCAAGTGCACAGGGTCACTTTGTGGGGAGCCCTGGGCCTGGCATCTGTAATCTCCGGATTCCTGAACTTCGAGGGTGTTTCCTGGGGTTAGGGTCAAAGTTTCTTTCCTCAAGTACAAGCGACGCCATATTGTTTTCTCTGTTGCACTGAGGTGAAATCCATTGCAAGTCAGAGTCACTTTGTCTCCTTTGAAGACTGTGGTCCATGGAGGATGGAGGGAAATCACAGGTTTGTGTGCAGCTGCTGAGGAGGAAAGAGTAATGGGTCTGAGGTGGAGGTGCCTGCAGTCCCAGCTTCAGTGGCTTGTGTGGGTTACCCTGGAGGACATGGCATGGGAAATCCTTAAGAGGCCCAAGGACGACTTCTATTTCCCCAGGTTGCAGGTGAGCTGTGTTCACCTCCTCCTGGGTGCAGTGACTGCTCAGTAGTCTACAGAAGCAGATTGGCCTTTCATAGAGAGGGCAGCTCTAGCAGGATCCACTCAGCAGTGATGGATGATGGGAGGCTCACAAACTCTCTTACTTGTTTCAGTGAACCAGGTCCTCAGGCAGATAGCTGGAAATTGCATTTCTCCTGGGCTCCCACCTGGGATCCTGGTGTTACAGAGACCTCTCTAAGATGAGTTCTTGTGTGTGAAGGGTACCAGAAAATGCCATCTCCAGGTTTGTCTCTTTGGCATATAAATTATTTTGAGCTAAAGGCCATGGAGAATCACCAGAAATAGGAAAAGTTCTAAAAACAAGGCACACGTTTTCCTTTATAAATGAAAAAAGAAATTTTCACTTATAAATGAAATTTCCTTTTGTAAATGTGTCTCCCTCTCCCATACCAGGAGGAGGAATAAGCTTAACAACTTTCATCTATAGGGAAGGCATTCACTTAAATATGCATAAAAACCCTTGTTTACCAGGGTTTTCCTAGTCAACCTGCCACACCTTGCCTCTCCCACCCAGAAGCCGAAAACTCCTTTTCCTTTGTTTAGTCTAAGACGGTGTGCAGGTTGAGTATACCTCATTCAAAATACTTGGGAACAGAAGGGTTTTGGAGTTTGAGTTTGTTTCAGATTTTGGAACATATGCAGAAACCAAAACTCTGAAATCTGAAATGCTCCGGTGACCATTTCTTTTGATCCTCATGTCAGTGCTTAAAACGTTTCAGATTTTGGAGCATTTTGGATTCCCGATTTTCGAATGAGGGATATTCAACCTGTGTAAATCTCAATCATCTGGCTGCCTCCCTGAGCCATGTTTTTCTTTGCAAACTCCCCTGTGTATGTACACTTGTTAATCTGTCCTTTATCAAGATAATTCATGGATCCCAGAAAATTAGCCTGTAGGAATCAAGAGAAAACTTCTTCTTTGCCCTCTTAAGGTCTGCTGAAATATCGACTGATGAAAAGCACATTCATTGGAGAAATGGCCTACAGATTTATCAACATGTACAGGGAAGAATTACAGAGTGATTCCCCAAGTATGCCAGGGGGGCCCAGATACTTACCCAGCCATTTTAGAGGGGTGTGGGGAGGGGGGAATGTAGGTAACTCTTTTGAGGGGCAACACATAATGACTAGGGTGAATTAATGGATAAATGGTTTTATTTGGAAGCTGAATGAGCCTGAAGGATAGACATTTTCTTACGATAGGGTCTGTTCATCTGTGGTTACACCCTTCAGTCTTCTTTTCTACATTAGAGGATGATAGCAGGGAGGGGAGGAAAAAACAACTGTTCTTACTGGTGGGTTGGTTTGGTCTTTAGGTAGATAGGGGAAAAGTTTCTTCTGTTGATCTTTAAGGGCCTTTAATTTAAAATACTCGTTATACCAGGTGGCCATATTTGGGGGTGAAATATTTTGGTTCTCTTCAAAACTAAGATAGGGAGAGAGAAATTTACCCCTCCTCTACATGTGGCATGAACATGAGATGGGATAGGAGTTGTAGATGGAGTGAGTATAGAAATTTGGGGGTCAATTAGACAGTTATGAAAAGGGGCCTAAGTAACATTTTTACTGACAAGAAGTATGTATGGGAGAGGCGGGCAGGCTGTGTCTGACATAAGAAATATATCCAGATAGCTGCAGAAGACAAGAATGCAGGGAGCTGGATGCTTCTGACTCCCCAGACTTCAAAGGCACTCTCATGGCAGTAAAACACTAACCCTACATGAAATTAGGGTGAGTATTTTTGAAGCATTCATGTAAAGAAGCTGAAGAAGGCAAGGATAATACAAATTAAAAATAAGAGGCTTAATTCTCCCTGCCAAAAAATTCTCCCTGCCCCTTTTCATAACTGTCTAATTGACCCTAAAATTTCTTTCTCTGTCCTTTTCAAATGCATACAAATGTTTACATTGGTTAAATAAGCCTATTGCCTGATTCCCAACCCAGGAAAGTCCTGGGAACCGCCTTTCTGAATACAAGCATCTAGAGAGATAGTTACCCTGTCTCTCAGTTCCTATGGGAGGGCAAGAACCTAACTTTGATGGGCTTTCGCCAATGTGCAAAACTACCTGCTGTTATAAAGATAGAGGTTTGTTTCCGCATGTTTTCACTCATAGGTGAGTGATGAACAATGAGAACACTTGGGCACAGGGAAGAGAACAACACTGACTGGGCTAGATGGGGTGGGTAGGGGGGATGGAGACAGCAAACCACCATGGCATGTGTGCACCTATGCAACAATCCTGCAGGATGTGGGATGTGCACCTGTACCCCAGAGTACAATAAAAAAAAATTAACTCAAAATAGATAAATGACCTAAATATAAGAGCTAAAACCATAAAACTCTTTAAAGAAAACACAAGAATAAGTCTTCATGACCTTGGATTTAACAATGTGGTTTTAAAATGACACTAAAGCATAAAGAACAACAACAACCACAAAGTTTGTTTCCTTTCAGTTACTTAAGACAGGTTGCCTCCCCAGTTATCAAGATAAAGTTAAAATGAACTAGTGGGAGAAAAGGTGTTGTCAGGCCTTCTTCCTTGAGGCCTAGTTATTGTTTATCTTGAAAACATGTATGAATGGGCTGTATCTAATTGGCTGTTTGAGGGGGTGGAATTCCTTTCTGTCTTTGCAGCTTCTTAGTGGATTGCCTGTGATGCTCATCATATTCTGGCTTATTGCTTATTCAGTAATACAAATGTTTCCTTTCTCTACTACCCGTGTGGAGAGGATTTCTGAGTTGGGAGAAGATTCTGTTTTTAATTATATATCTTCGAACAAGAAGCTGTTGCTGAGGCTCTTTTTAATCTGAATGTTTGTTTTCTGAGTTTTGTAGCTCTGACTTTGTGCCGGCTAACAATACCAGCAATTACAACACAAATTATTCACTATTGGAAACATCGCTCAAACAACCTGCCCAGTTTAATACTACTAGCTAGCCTTCTCCAAGATCAGTGCCTTGGTAGGCTCATCTTTCAATGGACATACAAATGAAAATTGATTGCTATTTTTAAATTCTGCTGAAGATGCAGTAATTCATAAACTTGTTAAAAGTTCTGTGGAACCACTGCTCTGATGACTCACAAAATCACTAAAGAGTATGGCAGAGTAAGACCTATTTTTTTTTGAGACGGAGTTTCTTTCTTTTTACCCAGGCTGGAGTGCAATGGCGCGATCTCGGCTCACCGCAACCTCCGCCTCCTGGGTTCAGGCAATTCTCCTGCCTCAGCCTCCTGAGTAGCTGGGATTACAGGCATGCACCACCATGCCCCGCTAATTTTTTGTATTTTTAGTACAGACGGGGTTTCACCATGTTGAGCAGGAGGGTCTCGATCTCTTGACCTTGTGATCCACCCGCCTCGGCTTCCCAAAGTGCTGGGATTACAGGCTTGAGACACCACGCCCGGCCAAGACCTATTAACAATTACGAAGGAGAAATCAATCATAGGGAAAACACTTGCTTGGCTTTCAAAAGTCGGTCCCAATCCTCTTCTCTCTAACCTGTCACTCACTAACATGTTTGAAAAAATGAAGTACTAACTTTCCCACCTACAGGATCTAGGTCTGAATAAAGGAATGTCAGAGAAATGATGTGAGGGATGGACTAAGGAATAGGGGTTCTGGGAAAAGGTTTTCTTTTATTTGAAAGAAGGCATGCGCACTGGGAGCTCTTTCACAGCTTCTCTTCCCTACTCCACCTGCCTCCCCACTTCTCCCCACTTTCTGCCTTGAACAAAGTCATAATGGCTGGAGCTGTGGCAGCTACCGCATTTTTAAAAAATCGATATTAGATTCATGCTTTGTCCTACAAATTGCCTACAGTAATGTAACTTCTGTTTTCATTTGTATTAATTTTAAACAATAAAATATTTGTATTTCATTTGTATTAACCTTAAACAATGCAATCTCTATTTTGGGAATTGCTATTTACTACAGAATTTTAAATAGATTCACTTTCAATTATTTGCTTCCTGGAACCTTTCTTACTTAGACTAGGACTGTCTACATTTAAGGACTTACAGAAAATTGCTTTTTCAAGCTTAAAACTTTAAACCTTCTTGCCTTTGTCCAGAAGAACTTCCCAGATAGATCTTTTAGTTACAGCTAAGTGTGAAGAAAATGCCCTTTCTCTGTTTGGGAGTAAAAAAAAAAAGAAAACTAAAATAACCCGACTGCATGTTTTACAGGAAGAAGCTAAATGTTCTATTGGGTAAGGTAGAACATCTGTGTGTCTCTGCAGACTTTTTTTTTTTTTTCAGACAGACTCTCGCTCTCACCCAGGCTGGGTGCAGTGGCCTCAGCTCAGCTTATTGCAACCTCTGCGTCCTGGGTTTAAGTAATTCTCCTGCCTCAGCCTCCCAGGTAGCTGGCATTACAGGCACACACCACCATGCCCAGCTAATTTTTTGCATTTTTAGTAGAGATGAGGTTTCACCATGTCGGCCAGGCTCGTCATAAATTCCTGACCTCAAGTGGTCCACCCACCTTAACCTCCCAAAGTGCTGGGATTACAGGCATGAGCCACCATGCCCGGCCTCTGCAGACACTTTTTAAAAATAAAATTCTGTCTTTAAAAATTTGGACTGAATCCCCTATGTCTTCAGTGGGGATGGGGCTGTGTTTCTGCTGAGAGACTAGAAATCCCTACCAGCTATGTTCCTGAGAAGCATCTGGATGTGGGGGCAGTTGGGACTTAGACAATAGGTCTTCTACTGGGGGTAAGGAGAATTTATTTCCTTTGTTGTATGCAACTAGACTTCTTTGCTCTGAGGAAGCTGTCCCTGCCATGTGCATGTGGCTGTGT